ATTATCTTCAGGTAAATAGAAGCTGCTAGCAGCTTCTATTTACCTGAAGATAATTTTCATCACAATAATTTCACATTATCAGCTATCATTAATTTAAAACACTTGTAAAATAGTTATCAGTCTTAGCATGCTATTTGCTCACAATACAGTAATTTAAACTACCGGTATTAAACAAGCTATGGTTTAAGCTAGTAGCAGACAAACATTACTGGATGAATTATTAATTAATAATTAGCAACAATTTATTAATTCTTCAAGTTAAACATATATATTAAATTAAAAATGTATAATATGTCTTTTTAATGTCCAAGCCAAAAAAACTAGAATTTTCTCTAATTGTAGTCTTAGTTACCAGACAACATTATCAGTCTAGATGTAATTGCAATAAAAAAATAAATGTTGATTCCTTCCTAAAAAATTACTCTTTACACACAATTCTATATTTTTTAGCTTATAAACTAAAATAATTTCAAAATTATTATATAAAAATAAACTTACCTTTTCCCATTCACCTTCAAGAACGTGCACTTGAAATTTAACAGCTGCTGGATGATCAAGTCGACAGCCAGATTCTTGCATTAATTGTTCAGCTGTTTGACTAAATAAACATTTAATTTTAATTAATTTTTATATATTTTAATCATCATCAATTATAAATATGATTTATTTCAAATCATACATTAACTTCTCAAATTTAAGACAAGATAAATCTATTATTTATACTAACCAATAAAAATTTAAGTCTATTACTACTAAAAACACAAAAACAAAACAATCTGCAGCTTTAAACTACATAAGTATATAAAAAAAAATCAAGTAATTCTGAAAATGATACAAGTTTCTTAAAAAATTCTATTCAAGAGGTAAACAATGCAGATCAAACTCCTAAGAATGTCATTTAAAACAGGTGTTTCTCAACCAGGAACCACAGACCAAAAATTAATTTTTGAGGAGCCAGAACAAACTAAGTGAGCCACAGGCAGAATAAAATATTAAAATTATATGAAAATGATTAAACTTCAATTAGTAAATTAGTCTTCATTTAGCTTCAAATTATTTCAGCAACCTAAATTATGATAAGTTTGGAAAAACCAGCACTATGACTTGTATGTTATAACCCTTTTTTAAATAGATGAGAAGGTGGTATTATGGAACCCCAATTACATTTTAGTGAATTGTAAACAAGGTATCATAACTACACCCACATTTATGGAATTATGGTATTTATGGTATTATGGAACCCCAATTACATTTTAGTGAATTGTAAACAAGGTATCATAACTACACCCACATTTTTGTGTGAAAAGTACTTTTAACTATTAAACTAAATGTTCCTAATTGGATTTTTCGCTAGTGTAACTATAAGTATGATTTTGAAGGCTTTTGTACAAAAAGTCAGAAAGTAGGCTTAGAGAAAATCGGGTGGTAATATGGAACCTTACTGTATTTTCAAAAAATGCTTTAATGTAGCCAAAAACAAATAGGAAAGTACAAAAAAATGTTAAGTAATTACAAAATTATTTACTCCAATGTATTTTATCGCAAAAATGCTTTTATAATAGAAAAATATGACCTCCGTCAACAATATATATTCCAGCAGCTCTTTTTCGATATTATCAGGAAGAATTGACTTTCTACCTAGTGTCTTTTTCACAAATTGCTCTGGATGAATGTCTGCTTGCAAATAGCGAGTTCAGAGGAGTTGAGTTCCATATTACTGTAAAAGCACCAATGGGGTCCATATTTCACGCATTGCCATCTCAAATTAATTTATGTCTGTCAAGACCAAAATTTAAAAAACATGAACATCACACAGATTAATATGTACCCCTAAGTCTCTGAAATGGAATACATGCACCAGTGAACCTACAACTACATGATTTATATTTTAAAAATAATTAAATTCATTTAGCATTCAAAACTTGCAAATTTTGGAAAAAAACAAATTTGCTGATTAAATACGGACAACTGTTTAACTGAAGTAAAACGGGTTTTCCTCTTGCTATGGATGTCTGCCTAGTTCAGTTCAGCCATAATCCGCTACAGTTCGCCTTTATTATCAGTTCGAAATGGGGTGGTTCCATAATACCACCTTTTCCTCTACCTTTAACAAAATGCATTTCAGACTTATATTGTCCCTCTTCAGTTGTTATACAGTTATTACATAGTAAACTGTACAAAACAAAGGTACAAATAAATACCCAATTTTAACAATAAACTTATTAAAATATAAACAATAAAACAAACTTACAAATCAAATTATTAAATATACATTTGGCTTTCAAATCTTCAAATATACTATTAAAATTAACAGACATATACCATAAGATAAACACATTTAAAGTATAAATAAAACATAAAATTGAACTTTTATCTCACTTTTACTGGGTATTTAAACATTATTGTAGGTCCCCCTGCTGGCTAAAAATTGATACCAAGTGGGATGTAATTGCATACCATCACTATAATTCATTTTTATTTCGAATTAAATTTTCTGATTTCAAAATGTTCAAGAATTTTCCTTTTAAATGTATTAAACTAAATGTATTTGTGTTTATAATTATTATTTCCAAATTATAGCCCAATGATTTATGGCAGTTGTTGGTGTGTACTTGCGATGCATTGTTTATAGATGTTTATATTTTGTATTAGATGCCTTTTTAATTATTTTTAATGTTTTTTTTTTTTTTGACTTTCACAACCTTGGCTATTACAGTGGCAGGCTACTGCTGACATTAAATAAAAATAAAAAATAATAATTACATTAAAGTAAATTATTACTGAAATATATGTAAATTACAAAAATATGTTTAACAATAAAATATAGAATATTTTAGGTTTAAAAATTCCCTTATTATCAGACAAATGTACAGTACATACATTTGTTTCCTATACAATGACATTGCATATAAATGCAAGATTTGACAACATGTCATTTTCTTTTTCCCCCCCAAAGAATTTTATTATTAAAACATAGATCTATTGCATATACAGTAGAGCCTCGATTATCCAACTCAATTGGGGACTGGGGTTGGTCGGATAATTGAAAAGTCAGATAACCGAAAAGTATGAAAAAATCCATTATTAGTGTAGTATATTATTATATCCCATGTAATTAGTATACTGTATTAGTATATAGCTATTAACCTACTTCCCATTGAATTTTCATCAATGTTAAGCCTAACAAAAATTTTTTAAAATAATAATCGTCACTATTGTATCGTTAAAAATTAGAAAATTAAGCCACATTTAAATACTGGCACCCTTTCATGGTCGAATGAGTGTTGCCAGCTAAAATACGTAAAAATACTATTAAAGTAGCCAAGACATAGCCAAATATTGTAGTGCCCCATCACTAGCGGACATTTGAAATTTGCCAAATAGGACGGTCAGTTAACCGAGGTGTCGGTTAATCGGGAATCAGATAATCGAGGCTCTACTGTAGATGTATTGACTGAAACTTCAATTTAGCACCACTTGTTCACCTCTAAACTTGGGGTAAAATTGAATGTGGAGCTAAACCGATTTAAAAAGTAATAAATTATATGTAATACTATATGTATGCAAGCTTTGAATTTGAAAGTTACTTGATTTAACATCAATAATGTCACCTCTAATGCAAAATGCATTACTCTAATATTTTCCTGTGTGCCCCCATAAAGCTCAAAATGAGCCAAAGATCAAAAAGGGTTGAGAAATACTGATTTAAACTATCTTGATACTAATATAAAAGAAAAAAACAGTCCATACATTCTTAATACTAAAAAGGGATGAATTATATTACACACATTAATATTTCAAAACATGACAAGTATGTACATATAAATGTTTTCACATCAATTTAAGATTTATAAATTTCATCTGAATAAGGTATAAAATTTTATGAATACACTATAGCTTTTTACATAAATTTAATTCAAATTTAATATGTAAAATTTAAAAATCAAAAATAGTAATTCAGAATATTTTATTAAGAGAAAATAAAAATAGAACTTCATTTTAATCAAAAATTATTACAATAAATTTAAATGTGTTTCATAGAAGGCTATGTATTATAATTATTCAAATAATTCAATGAACATATACAATTCAGAAACCAAAAAGTTGAAAGCTTATATTTTAAAATTTCATTAATACAGAAACCATAGCAATAGCATTTACCATGTGTAATCTATATATTAAAGTATAATTCAAAAGATTCAGCAACAAATATTACACAATAAAAATAAAATGTGCTTAATTAAGAGTAATAGTTTTTACATCATTAAAAAGTGAATAGAAAATGTCAGCTAACAAACATCTTAAAAATTCATACTATGAAAATATAAAATGCATTTAACAAAAAACATTTATCTAGATATGTTAGCCATGTACAAAATTTCTGATAGTATAATAGCTGTCAAGTATTGAAAAACAAAAAAAGGCATTTGCAAATTTCAACTATTTACATATCATTAGATATAGATAATTACATCAGAAATTTTATGGATGTGGCCACTTATTTTCTTTATTTAGTCAAGTGAATGTGGTAACAAGCACATTCCATTTTCGTCAGAGTCATGTGGAATTAAATCAATCATTTCCAATTAAGAAAATTGCTCTGAAGAAGGATCTATGAAAAAATAAAAAATCTGAAGGTGTTTCATTTCATTTCTAGCAGCCTTAGAACTTCAGATGATATGCAGATTAGGACAGCCCAATGTACAGTACAAACTAAAAATTATAATTTCATATATAAAGACAAAAGTAATTTAATGATCTAAAAAATTAATCATCACCAAGCAAATGATTTTTATGGATTGTTCTTGTGGATATAGAAGGATGTTTTTGAATAGTCTAGATCAGTGATTCTTAACCAGGGGGTCTGTGGATTTGGAAGGGTAAAAAAATCAATTATCTTAGTTTTGTGTTATGTGAAATTGTTTATTACATTAGGAGAGAAGCCTATATAACACTATCATATGGTTTTTACTCATATGCATATGTATTTCTATATAACTGGTATTTTTTGTAATTTTATTTTATGCATTTGAAAACAATTATTCCAAGGAGTCTGTGACCTTCATAAAAAGGGGGGATGCATTTCATAAACAAAATTTAGAGGGGAAAAAAATTATAAAACTATAAATTATTAAAATTATTTTTCATCTTCATACAAATGATTTTTAAAAAATCAACTAAAAGTTAATTAATACAGTAAACCTTAAAATTATGTGAAAAGTACTCAAATGTAAATTTAACTGAATTAAATTCAACAGTTTACTTCAGAATTTAAAATGAAAAAACTTACTACCACTTCTTCAATGAATATAATGAAATTAGTATGCAAGATTCTTATTAATTACTGTATTATTGTCATAACCAAATGGTTACATATTGAAAACAGTCATTTTTATTAAAAGGCAGCAATTTATTCAACTCAGTTAATTGTATTGTAATTGGTCTCTATGTAAAAAGAAAAATTACATAATAATTGGCCTCTAGCCAGTTATTAGTACCACTAAACTTTTTATATACTACAGAATCTGTTAAATTGATTTTCTGTGCATGTCCTTATATACATATTTATTTTGTAAAATTTTAATATCAAATCATGCA